AAAGGGCAAAGGTTCCAACTGACCATCAGCTTCCTCAAACCAGGGGAAAACAGGAGAGTGGCTGGAGCAGTGGGAGTTGAAGGAAGTGGCTTCTTGCCTTGGTGCTGCTGCAGGATGTCACACTGGGCTGGCCCTGATGGCTTCTGGCTTCATTTCCCTTGCACCTCCAGTGCCTCCCATCAGGGATTTTGGGAAGCTTTGCAAAAACGTCCTGGCCTGGCAAAGCTCCCAAGACAACTCCAAGCATTATTGATTTGGGGGTGGCACGATGACGTGGCCGGGCTGCTGGGCTGGTGGGCAGGGGGGGGGATAATTTTAGCAGCCAGGCAGCCCTTCCAAGGGATAACTTTGTTTTTCACCAAGCACTGAACCTTTATCTCTTCAAATACCACGGGAATAATTCATGTCTTCAGCGTGTTGCTCACATCTGATGTGCTGTCTGAGCCTGGTCAATGGTGCCATTCAGCCCACAAAGGTTCCTCTGTGCCTCTGGCAAGCGGAGCCCCGTTGGGTGTGTGGATCCAGATGGGGATGCCTGGGCTGGCAGCAGTGCCCAGCACTCCCCTGGCTGCAGGGCAAGGCTGAACTGCAGCTCTGGCACCTCCTGGACCTGCCCTCTTGGGGCATCTTGGGCAGAGCTTCAGGTTATTTTGTGCTTTAGCACATCTGAACAGTTTTGGTGGTTTTTTTTTTTTTTTGCTTGCAGCGTGGTTTGTAGGGAATGTGTGTTTGTAAACTTTCCCTGGTAAAGTGAAGTGCTGGGATTTGGCCTGCCCGGGTGTGCTGCTCAGACAAGGCTCAGCTGGAGGCTGTGTGTGTGGAAAAGGCACCACAATGGGGTTTTGGGGGCTGTGGGGTCACAGCAGTGATGCTCTCCCTGCCTTGGGGTGAGTGCAGGGACTGTGCCCATGGGCTCCGTGGGGTCACCTTGCTGGCTTTGGCACCTCTAACCTCCATCTCTGGCACAGACCAAGGCTCTCCACGGGATTTTGTGCAGAGCATGACAGCAGAAGCTGTGCAGGAGCTGGGGTGGGCTCTGCCCATCTGCTTTTTTACATTTGCTCACGATGGTTCAGGGGGGAACCTGCCAGCAGCCGCTGTCCCATCCCAAATCACTGCTCAGCTCCAGGCACCTGGTGAAGTTGTTTAATAAACAAATGAGTGCTAATTGTGCATGGCAGTGACTCTGGGGTTGGGCCAGCCCCAGAGCACTGTGCTGTCTCAGGGGAGCAGGGCTTTGCTGACCTTGCTGGGAAGCACAGAGAGGGGATTTAAACCTTCTGGAGCAAATGAAGCGTTTCATGATGCTGCCCTGACGCTTGGTGCTGATCCAAGGGCTGGGGCTGGGCGGGTAAAACTCCAGACTGGAAGCTGCAAATGCTGGTTTTAGGCATGAGGTTTTTGCTGGATTCCTGCACGAGTGTCCCATGCAGGGTGCATCCACTCTGACCTTTCCCAGGGCTGCAGGAGTGCTGTGTGACCCCCGAAGGGGTGCTGTGGGCACAGACACCATATTGCTGGTTCCTAAGCCCCCTTGGCAGGCTGTCATCTGGCTGGTTTGGCTGCTGATTAGGGTGGCTGTTCCCTGGATTACCCATCCCAGCCCTGGGATTGTTCTGGCTGCCCCAGTGGCCAGGTGCTGTGTCCTGTTTCCTGTGCCCTGCCTGGGGCTGAGGGGGTGCTGGTGGGGCTGGCATTGTCCCCCTGTCCCTCTGTGGGGGCTTGCAGGGACAGACAGCCCGAGCCTGCTGTTCCTGCTGTTCTTTGCTGCAGGGGAAGGAAGGGGCAGGAGTCTCAGTTCCTGTTGTCCACTTGAACATTAAATACAGGCTATTAAGCAGTTTTCTTTGCAGGAAGTGTAGAAATCCAGCTCTTGTGAGCACAGCCTCGAGAGCCTGGAGCTTGCCCTGCAGCAGCATCCTCTGCTCCCCCTTTGTAGCAGCATTAACCCTTCATGGCCAGACTCAGCAGCTGCTTTGTTTTTGACCTGAGCCACTCATCCTGCTGCTTCTGGCCTGTCCCACGTGCAGCTGAGCCAGAGCTTTTTGCTCTTTGCAGCTCATGGAGCAAAGCAGAGTCAGCTCTGGGGAGAGCCCCCAGCTCTGAGCCAGCAGTTTCACTGTTCCCTGCCTGAGCTGATCCTCCCAACACGGGACCAGGCAGCAGGATCAGCCACGGGGGGACTTTTGTCCTCCTGACATCTCATTTGGATGTGCTGTGGTTCCCCTCAGTGTCCTGGCTGTTGTTTCTGGGGTGCTGGGGTCACCCCACAGTGCCTGGGGGGCTGCACTCGTGGAGGAGCCTTGGGAAATCATGACACTTCCTTCTTCAAACTGCCTTTTTCAGTAGTTCCAAATTCCTTTGGAAGAGGCTTTCTATGTAAAAAGCAACCACTTCAATCTGCTTGCAACCACTTCCCAGAAAGACTGAACTCTCAGCAGCTGAGGAGGAGGAGGAGGAGGAGGAGGGGGGCACAGGGCTGATCCCTTGCAGGATTCCTGGGGGCTGCAGAAGATCCCTTCAGCCAGGTTTGGAGGAGCCCTGGGGCTGGAGATGGAATTCAGCCAGGAATTGCCCTGGCTGCAGAGGGAGGAGGAAAGTGGGGTGACCCCTGGGCTGGGTGTGAGGGACAGGGACAGGGACAGGGACAGGGGTGATGCCAGGAGAGGCTGCTGCCCTCTGCCCTGCTGGAGCCACCCCCCTTCTGCTGTCCTGGGGTGCAGTGCCAGGGGGGATGCATCACTTTTAAAAGGACATTTTATTAAATCCTTGGTTGCTGTAGCTGTGCAGGTGGATTTGTGTGTGGCAGTTTTCTGCCAAGGGGATTTTCCCAAAGGGATTGTCCCATCCTCACCTGCCCAGGTGGGAAAAGGGAGCCGTGGGAGGTGATGATGATGATGATAACTGCAGCCTGAGCTGGTTGTGTTGCTCAGGCAGAAGGATTTTTCAGGCTTTTTGTGGTTGTTTTCCCTGATGCTGTGGTTGACCCATCAAGCCAGCAGAGAACTGGGAAGGAAAACTTGCCAGACTCACGTGCAGTGTCTGGGTGGTTTTGCTCCTGTGGGAGAGGAAGCAGCAGATTCTGTTGAGCCTTTGCAGGATTTTGGGTTTGTTTGTTCACAGCCCTGGGAAAGAAGAAGGGGCTGCCCTGTTCTCCCTGGGCCTTCCTGCTTCCACTGCAGGGATATTGCCCCAAAATGTCCTTGTGGGGTTCCAGCTTTTAGGAAGAGTTGGGGCATGGGTGGGTTTGACAGTGGCTCAGGGGGGCCCCACAGGGTGGGCATGGGTGCCCCTCTCTGCTTTCCTGGCTGATCCTGCTGCTAATTTTACCCTTTATCACTCCACGAGTTATCTCCCTCTCCTCTGCCTATTTATAAGCTCCATGGGCCACTGCTGTCAGTGCTGCTGGCTCCAAAGGCTCCTTGGCTTTGCTCTGCCTGGTCCCAGAGCCCTGAGGTGCAGGAGAGGGTGGAGCTGGGGAGGGTGACCCTGCCCCGGGTCCCCCCAGGTGTTCATCCCTGTGCTGCAGCAGCCTCCAGCTCTGGGCTGGGCACGAGGGGTGGCACATCAGGCCTGGCTCAGGTGGGGATGTGGCACATGGAATGTGGCCAAGGGCTCGGGGGGTTGGGGGCCAGCAGGGGCTGGAGGGGAGGACGTGGCTCCTCAAATCATTAACATCATTAACATAATTAACATAATCTTTGTGTTTATTCCAGAGCAGGCAGGAGGGGCTGGGTGACAGTCCCCAAGCCCTGTGGCTGCTCCAGCAAGCTCTGGGGAGGGAAGGAGGCTGCTCTGCTGCTGGCACCAGCATGGGCACCTGGAAAGGAGCAGGGAGATGTCCCAGTGCCCTTTGCTCAGCCCTGTGCTGAGCTGGGACAAACCCTCCCACTCTCCCGAGTCCCTCTTCTCAACCCTGGCCAGGAGCACCTGGGAAGTTTCCCAAAAAAACCCCGTGTCTTGCTTCTGTAGGTGCCATGGAGACTGCTGGCAGCTCCAGGCACGGGAAGGGTGTAAAAAGCCGTGCTCATTCCATCCTCCAGGGAGCAAAGTGCAAATCCTGTTATGTGTGAACCTTCTCCTTGGAGAAGCCCCCTCTGTACTTTTCCACTGGGAAAGCTCCTGGGGATTTCCCTCTGCCTTGGCTGGGTGATTTCCTGCTGCCTTAGGAAGCAGTTGTGTGAAGGCAGCTGGGACTGAACCGGGCAGGATTGACCCCAGGGCTGTCAGCAGTGGTGCTGGGAAAAGAGCTTTAACGCTCAGAGAAAGCTGCCAACTCCCTTATCCCATGGGGAAAGCAAAACACTTGGACTCTGCTGTGGTTATCTCTTGGCTGTTGGTGTCTGAGAGGAGGAAACAGCCTTTGTGTGCACACACATTTTCCACCGGTGCTGGGAAAGGGAAAAAACCGTGGAATTTTGGGCTTTGAGTGAAGAAATGCACACAGAGGAGTGAACACTGTGTCTGCCTCACACCAGCAGTGCTGGCAGCCCCACGGTGCCCAGGACACTCTGAGTGTGCCAGGTTAACAGGGCTGGTCTGAAAAGCCAATCCTGGATCCACTCAGGTCACTGCCAGTAAGAACTTAATAGGATCCAGAGCTCGGGCAGAACCTGCAGCTTGGGGAGCAATAAAGCTGTGTGCTGCTGCCTTCCCTCAGCAGGACAGGAGCATGGCACAGGTGCCATCTCTTGGGGGGCAGTGTCACCGTGTGTCACCGTTAGCTGCTGCCCCATGGCTCTAGGTCCGAGCTCTGGGGTGGCTCTTTTGGTATTTAGAGGTTTCATCTCCTGTAGGGTTTCATGCCCTGCAGGGTATTTTGGGGGTGCTGACAGGGAACCCCACAGACACAGCCCTGTCCCTGGGGTGGGTGCAGAGGGGCAGCGCTCTGGGGCTTCCCTGGTGCCAGGGTATTTCCCTGGGGGTATTTCCTGGCCGGGATCATGTGTGTGATCATTCCCATGTCTGTGACATGCCCGTGTTCCTCTCCTCTGTCCCAGATCTCTCGGCTGCCAAGCGCAAGTTTGCAGATTCCCTCAATGAATTTAAATTCCGCTGCATCGGCGACGCCGAGACGGACGATGAGATCTGCATAGGTGAGTCCTGCTGCTCCTGCAGCCTCCACCCTGGGCAGGCCACGGCAGGGAGACACACAGGGGGACACCAGGGGGTCCAGGAATTTGTCTGGGTGCAGAGTATTCCTCCTGGTTCAACAGCAGCAAAGCCTTCCCCAGGGAATCAGTGGTTGCTTTTTGGCCTAAATCTGTCCCTGCCAGACAGGGAAGGGAGAAGATTGCCTGTATCTGAAACCATCTCACTTATAGCTGGGTGTTTTGCACTGGAGAGGAGAATCTGGAGCTGGTTGTGGCTGGATACACTGCAAGGGGCTGTGCTCTGGAGCAGAGGAGCAGCAGCCTTGCTGCTGGAGCACAGGACCCTGTGCTTGAGACAATCAGCAGAGCTGAGCCTGGCAATGCTCCCTGAGCTAAGCCTGGCTCTGCCATGGGTTTCTCCTGGCACCCAGCAGTGACTTCAGCCTCTTCCCTCTCTCATCCTGCCCCTGCCCCAGCTGAACTTTCAGAGCTTATTGTGCACATCGTCTGGAGCCAGGAGAGCAAAGAAGCTTTAGCCCTGATTTAACTTTGCTTGTTGATTTGTGCCCGGTCTCTCAGCAGAAAGAGCTCCTCAGCCAGCTCTCCCCGGTGCTGTGCCCGTGCTGGGGAGCTGCCCCTCGTGTGCTGGGCACGGCTGGAGGCCAGTGCTGTGCTGTGGGGCTGGTCCATGGCTGGCTGTTGGGTAGGGCAGGTCTGAGCTGAGGATGGTGCTCTCTGGAGAAGGAAGCCTGGTCCTGGGGATGCTCTGCTGCCATTTGCTTCTCTAGGCAGCAGGAGCCTTTCTGGGCAGAGAGCAAAGATAATAAAAACCCAACCCCCCCCACCCAAAACACGGACAAAACCCCTGTGTGCAGTTTCTCTCTTTAGCAATGCAGTGTTAAATGCTGACTGTGTCCCTTCCAGCCAAATCTCTGCAGGAGTTTGCCACGGTGCTGCGGAACCTGGAGGACGAGCGGATGCGCATGGTACGGCCCCGCCCGTGCTGGGAGCGGGGCTGGTGGCACCAGGGACACCGCGGTGACAGTGGCTGCCAGCCCCACGGCTCCTTCCCTAGCCCGGGGTGGAGCTGCAGGGGAGGGCAGGGGGAGGAGAGGTGGGGAAACACTTGGAAAACGTCGGGAGTGGAATCCTGCTGTTGGAGAGGGGCTGGTGCTGGGGGGCTCAGGGGTGTGCAGGGAGGGGAGGGGGGAAGCCTGTGGGTGCCTGGGGGCTGTGGGAGCCTTTCCATGGCAAAGGCTGTGGGGCAGCAGAGCTGAGCCCTGCCTGTCTTTGCCCCCAGATCGAGAATGCCAGCGAGGTGCTGATCACGCCGCTGGAAAAGTTCCGCAAGGAGCAGATCGGGGCTGCCAAGGTAACCCAGCCACTGCCCCTGGAGCTGGGCAGGGTGGGCACACTGCAGGGTGGGCACAGTGCAGGGTGGGCTCGGGCATGGCAGGAGGAGTGAGCTGCTGTGGGATGGGCACGGGGGTGATGCAGCTCCTGGGAAGTGCCTCAGTGTTCCGAGCTCACCCACAACCAAATAACGTGCCAAGGGCAAAAATAACTGCATGCCAGCTGAAGTGAACTTTTTTCCTTACTCCAAGGAAGGATTAGGATTTTCTTGGAGGGGCTCACATTTTCCTGAGTCCCCCAGCCTGCACTCCCCACCCCAAAGCATCGCTGGGGCTGCAGGGGAGCTCTGATGCTCCTGGCAGGACGGGGAAGCGCCGGTGTGGCTGAGGGTGGCTCTGAGACAGCCTGGCCCCCCCTCTTTCTTTCCTGCCTTTGTTCTGAAATGAAAACCACTGTCTGTGGCTCCCCTGTTGTTATAACAACCTGCTGCTGCCTGCAAGCAGCTCATGCCAGCGCCTGGGGCTGTGTGTGCATGGCAGCAGTGCCCAGCCCTGCCCCGTGCAGCTGAGAACAGAGCAGACAGGAGACCCCAGGATGGACCTGCTCGTGGGCAGGTGCTGCCATGGGTTTGGTCCTGGCATGTTGGGGTGGCCAGGCTGGGATGAGAGGTGCAAAGGAAAGTGAAGTTGGCATCCTTAATGCTCCTGCCACAACCAACCTGTGTCATTGTCCCACATTGCACAGGGGAGAAGTTATTGCAAGGGGTGGGATGTGGAACTGGGACAGTGTTCTGCTTAGAAAGCACTTTCCTGGCTCTGTTGTTTTTGGACTTGGATCTGGATGTTTTACCAAGCCCTGGGCCCCAGGAATAGAGGAGGGCTTCCCTCAAGCCTTGGGTTTGGCAGCATAAGCTGCTTGCTGTAGCTGCCTGATGCTGGCAGATAAAAGCAGCCTCACCTGCTTCCAGCTGCTGCCCCCAGGTCCTGCCTCCTGTTGGCTCCCACCTGGGACTGCCATCCTGCCCAGTGCCACGGGGATGCTGTCACAGCTGCTGTGGGGCCCTCGTGTTCAGTGTCACACTTCTGTTCTGCTTTGTAGGATGCCAGAAAGAAATACGACAAGGAGAATGAGAAGTACTGTGGTGTCCTAGAAAAGCACTTGAACTTGTCTTCCAAAAAGAAAGAATCCCAGCTTCAGGAGGTGAGAGCAGCCTCTGAGTTTCCATGTCTGGCTGTGACTGTGGGGAGCTTTTTGGGTGCCTCACACAACTTTTAACAATGGTTCTCCTGGCTGTAAACTCATTTTTTTTTCCCCTCATTCTGGCTGCGGGTGCTGGGTTTTCCCCTTTTCCTGTAATGAAAGGATATGGAGCTGTCTTGGTGAGTAAATCAGAGAGATCCCAAAATGGATAGCAATCAAAAAGGAGAGAGGGTTTATAATTAAAGAGTGTAACAGAAAGGAACTGGTTCTGCTGCAGGCTTCCCATGTGCCAGCACCAGTCATGGATGTCTGGTCTCCTTCTCTGCAAGTGATTGAATCTGCTTTGTGCTCCAGGGGAGGAGGGATCAGGCTTAGAGCCTTAAACTCTCCAAGAGCCATCAGTGATTCAGGCCGTGCTTAGCTCTGGTGGCAAGAGCTCCCTCCCACTGGATGAGCATGCTGAGTTTTCAATCACTTCTTTCAAGTCTGGAATTCCTTGTGCTGGCCCAGAGCTGGGCTGCTCCTGCAGGATGTGTGTCCTTGCCTTTGGGCATGGTGCTGGTGTGCTGCTCATCCCTTACTGGGGGCACTGGTGGGCGTGGGGCTGCTGTACCCAGGTGGTGGCACCGTGCCCAGCAGAGCTGGGGACTTGAGAGCAGAAATACCTGGGGTACAGGTGATGATCTTGCAGCAACTCAGGGCTGAGGAGGGCACAGAGCCTGGGCAGAGGTGCCTGCAGGCCAGCCTTGTCCCTGGGCTCTGAAATAACTTCCCATGTGGAAGCAGCCACGTGTCCCAGGGAATGGTGGCTTTCAAATGACCCTCTGGTTTGGTCTGGTTTAGTTTAAATCCCAAACTAAACCTTGGTTTAGTTTGTGTTTGAGATAATACTGATTTGGGGCATGGGAGGGGGAGGAATTCTGGCAGTGGAGGGAAGGATCCACTCGTGGCTGTCAGAGCTGAGGTGTCCTGGCCAGAGCACGGCCCTGTGGGGCTGCCTGGGGATGCCATGTGGGATTCTCTTTGGGATTCTCTTTGGGATGTGTTTGGGATGTGTTCTGATGCTGGATTGTCTTTGGGATGTCTTTGGGATGTCTTTGGGATGCTGGATGCTGTGCAGGTGTGTTGGAGCAGTGCTGGCTGCTGGTGCCATCTGGTGGCATCTTCCACCCGGACCCTGAATGGCAGGCAGTGTGTCTGTCTTATATTCTCTGTGTATTTATTACACAAATTCTACACATCTCAGGTTATAAATTGCTCAAATGCATAATTAAATGTTTCCATTCACAAAAAAAAAAAAAGTATATGGAGCTGTTGAACACAGAAACTTTCCTCTCATGGGCCATCTCTGACCAAGGCATCCTCTGAGTGAGCTGCATCTCCCTCCACCACTTCCATAAGCTGCCCAGCACACAGCCATTGTCTTTCCATGTATTTATTGATTAGCATCAGCTTTTTAGGTAATTGAAGCCCAGCTGCTGGGGAGGCAGGAGGAGCCTGCAGCCAGCTGGAAGCAGCTCCCAGGTCAGGTGCTGGTTCCAGTTCCCTGTGGGAAATGTTTGTGGTTTGTGTGGCTCAGACCCCACCTTAGAAAGAGGATTCAGTGTGGAGTTGTGAAATGTGGATGTGGCATCCCTGGCAAGGGGCAGTGCTTTCCAGAAAAGGGAGAATTGTCTTTTCTTGTCAAGTCCATAGTGATTTCCATTTTCCTCACCTCTACTGCACGTTTTCTGCCCAGCTGTGGAGGAGGTGAGAACAGGAGTCACCACTCTCATTTCCTCAGCTGGAGGAAGAGCACGCTCATGTGCATCAGGTTCATGTTTATTGCTGTGCCCTCTGTGCAGCTGAGTTTGCTCTGCTTGGGGGTGTTCCCATCAGAGCTGAGGTCATCCCTGAGCTGCTGTTTCCTCTGCACCCCCTCTGCAGGCAGACAGCCAGGTGGACCTGGTTCGGCAGCACTTCTACGAGGTCTCCCTGGAATATGTCTTCAAGGTGCAGGAGGTGCAGGAGAGGAAGATGTTTGAGTTTGTGGAACCTGTAAGTGAGCTCTCAGTGTGTGCCAGCCTGCACAAAGCTGGGGGTGGTGTGGTGGAGCAGGGGGAGCCCTGGCAGGGCAGGGGCCAGGGGGTCCAGCCTCACCCCACAGCACCCTGGGGGGCTGCAGGGCGCCCTCCCCTCAGCACTGCTGGCTCTGGGTCTCCACTGACCATCTCCATTTGCTTTTTCCCAATCAGCTGCTGGCCTTTCTGCAGGGGCTGTTCACCTTCTACCACCACGGCTACGAGCTCGCAAAGGACTTCAGTGATTTCAAAACTGAGCTGACAATCAGCATCCAGAATGTGAGTGTGCCCAGGGTGTCCCCAGGGTGTCCCTGTGCCAGGGTGTGCCCAGGTGTCCCTGTGCCAGGGTGTCCCCATGCCCAGGGTGTCCCCATGCTCATCACTGTCAGTGTCTGGCAGAGCCTCCTCACCTTCTGCTGTATTTTAATCACAGAATTCCAGACTGGTTTGGGCTGGAAGGGACCTTAAAGCTCATCTCATTCCACCCCTGCCATGGCAGGGACACTTTCCACTGTCCCAGGTTGCTCCAAGCCCTGTCCAGCCTGGCCTTGGGCACTGCCAGGGATGGGGCAGCCTCAGCTTCCCTGGGCACCCTGTGCCAAAGCCTCCCCACCCTCACAGGGAAGATTTTTTCCTAATATCCAATCTAAACCTCTCCTCTTTTAGTTTAAATCCATTTCCCTTGTCCTGTCACTATCAACCCATGTCAAAAATCACTCTCCCTCTTTTTTAAGCCCCTTTAAAGTTCTGGAAGGCTTTGCCAATTACTGTAGTAGTTTTGCTTTAGCTTAAATCCAGACCCAGGAAGCAAACCCGTCCTGTGGCTGCCCCTGGGCCCCCAGTCCCATTTCCCAGCCCCACTCCACGTGCTGTTAGCCAGGCACAGGTCCCTGCACTGCAGCAGTCATTCCTGGTTCAATTTACAGACAAGAAATCGCTTTGAAGGAACCAGGTCAGAGGTTGAGGCTTTGATGAAGAAGATGAAGGAGAATCCCCACGAGCACAAAAACATCAGCCCTTACACCATGGAGGGGTATCTCTATGTGCAGGAGAAACGTAAGCTGGGCTGGGGAATGTGGTGGGTGGGGGCCTGGGCAGGGACAGGGGCACAAAGGCTGATTCAGCAGGAACAGAATCCCTGGGAAACAGGGATGGGCTCAGTGGGGTGCTCAGTGGCAATGTGGCAGAATCACTGGCAGTGCCTCATAAAAGTGTGTTAGGTGCAGGAGTGTGGCGTGTGAATGATGGTTAAACACAGCAGGCTGTGATGTGAGCTGAGGCTGCTCTGGGTGTGAGCCCCGTGTTTGCTCTGCAGGTCACTTTGGGACCTCCTGGGTGAAGCATTACTGCACCTACCAGAGGGAATCCAAACGCATCACCATGGTGCCCTTCGACCAGAAATCAGGAGGAAAAGGGGTGAGTGCTGGAGGGGAGCAGAGGAGAAGGGCTGGGGGCTGGAGGGGAGCAGAGGAGCAGGGCTGGGGGCTGGAGGGGAGCAGAGGAGCAGGGCTGGGGGCTGGAGGGGAGCAGAGGAGCAGGGCTGGGTTCTGCCAGGCTGCAGGGCTGGGTTCTGCACGTGGCTCTGCTGGCTGCAGGCTCTCCCAGGGCTCAAACTGTGTCACCTTTGTAGCAAGGTGACACAAATGCAGTCAAGTGGGTCACATTCATTCCAGGCTGCGTGGCTGCCACGTGGGGAATGAACTGGGCACCTGGTTTGAGAAAGAAAGGACAGGAAAGCCCCAGAGCCCAGAGATCTTTGTCAGCCACATGCACCCACCACGCTCCAGCTCCAGGGGTGTCTGCTCCCCAGTGCCTTGTTCCTTTTCATTATTTTGCTCCTTCTCCAATGCCTGGGACTTGTCCAAGGCCAGGTTGGAGCTTGGAGCAGCCTGGTGGAGTGGAAGTGTCCTTGCCCACGGCAGAGAGTGGAAAGAGATGAGCTCTAAGTGCCCTTTCTGCCCAAACCATTCTGTGAGTCTCTGGTGATCTATGACTTGGCCATTGAAGTTGTTTTGTTTTGGACAGAGCCACAGCAGAGCCTGGAGCTCCCCCTGGCCCCGAGGGGGTGTGAGGAGCAGGGGGAGCAGTGGGTGTGGAGAGCCAGCACATGCTGTGTCCCAGGGCTGAATGCAGGGCTGGCTTTGCTGCTCTGTGCAGCAGGAACAATGGACCCCGGCACAGTGTTCCCAGCTGGGATGGTTTGCAAACACAATCCCCTTGCTGGGGAGTGCCTGGGGCAGCTGGACAGGCTCCCACACGGCTTCCTGCTGGCACAGGGAGCTGGCTGTGGGCAGGGAAGCTTCTAAAATTAATTTCCTCTTGCCTTGGAGCATCTTCATTATAGCTCAGCATTAACATATCCCAGCCCTGTAATCATCAGTGGCTGTACTGTGTTTTGTCTGGTCCCTTCCCATTTCAGGGCTCTCTCAGCACCCAGGGGTGTGGGAGCTGCTGGCAGCACCCTGAGCCCCCTCCAGGGCTGTGCTTGCCCTTGTGGCTTGGCCCGTGCTGGCATGAAGTGCTGCCAGTGCTGGGGCAGCCCTGGCTGCCTCAGGGTCTGTCAGGGGTGCCCACCATGGGCATCTGAGCCTGGAGCAGCCTGGGGGCTTGGGCTGCACTGCTGGGAATGCTGGGGTCTGGCTGGAGCAGGTGCCAAGGTGCTGCATGGGGAGACCCATCTCTCGTGGGTCATGGGTGACCCGGGGCTGTGGCCAGAGCTGGGTATTGGTGGGTTTGGGGCAGGGGTTTCAGCAGTCCCTGAATTCTGGACAGGGAGCTGGGCAGAGTGGGAGCAGCCTTGTGCTGGCTAAGGGGCACCAGGAGCTGGGGAGAAGCTCAGCAGAGAGCTCTTGTGCCTTCCTGTGTCTGTGCTGGGTCCCCCGTGTGGGACAGGAGAGTTTTTGGGAGTTAGAAACCATGGGAGCACATGGGAGAACAGTCAGGAATTAGGAATCCTCCCCCAAAATAGGGCAGGTTCAGAGCCCCAACAGAAGAGCATCTACAGCAGTGCCTGGAAGGTGGGCACCGAGCAGGAGGGGCTGGGAGCCACAGTGCAGCAGGAAAAGCTGTCACCATGGGCAGGAGTGGTGGGACAGCAGGATGTGTGTGGGGAATGTTCTAGTTGTCAGGAGCTGAATGGTGGTGGCAGTGGGGAGGAGTTTATGGGCTGGAACCGGGTTGTCACCCCCTCTGGGGAGATTTAATGGCCATGGACTTGTGGCACGTGAGGACGTGGATTAGTGGTGGGCTTGGCTGTTCTGGGCAATTCTCAGACTCTGTGATCTTAGAGGTCTTTTCCAATCTAAGTGATTCTGAATATGTTTCCTGGAAAAATGGTGATGTCAGGGAACAGGATGGTCAGCCAAGGTGTCATCAGGAACAGCACAGAGAGCCCAGAAAAGTCTCTGTCTCCAGGAACTCCTTCAGAATTCATTTTCTCTTAAGTCATCCGTGGAATTTCACAGTTGCAGGAGAAGTGTCTGTGCTGGCAGGGGCTGAGGCAGGATTTCCTCCAGCAGAGGACAGCAGTGCTCCCAGATCCTGCTGGATCCCTGCTCAGCCCTGTGCAAATCCAGCACAGCTTGGATGCAGAGAAGCATTCTCTGGATGGGAGAATGGTTTTGTCATTGCTTTGTTATATAATAAACATTTTAAGACATGTTTGCTCCTGTTAAAAGTCCTCGTGTGCACAGTGCTGCCAAAAACGCAGCGTGGAGTGCAAAGTGCCAGCAGTTCTGGGGAGTGTTGTTCAGCAATGGGAAATAAAGCTGATTTTGTTGTGGTCCAGCACTACCTGCCCACGTGAAGAATGGGTTGTGCACAGATTGAATCGTGGGCATCCTGAAGGGAAGGATCCTCATGAAAGGTTTTGGACTAAATGAGGGTAAAAAGACAAGTCCTCCTGTCAGATATAAACAGATATTTTTAGCAGGGTGATGTTGCCAGATCCCCCCAGGTTTGACAGAGGTGGGTGCTGGGGTCAGGGCTGTGGTTTTGGGTTGTTCTTGGCCTGAGCTGTGGTTTTGTCTCTCTCAGGGGGAAGATGAAGCTGTCACCCTGAAATCCTGTACCCGCAGGAAAACAGACTCCATTGAGAAGAGGTTCTGCTTTGATGTGGAGGCTGTGGATAGGTGAGTGCTGCCAGGGAGCTGCTGGGGCTGTGCTGACCCTGTGGAGGGAAGGGCTGTGCTCCTGCCCTTGGCTTTGGGACAGTTCCTGGGCACTTTCCGTGTTTGTGTCCTTCAGTCCCAGCCTGTGTGAGTGGAAAGCATTACCCCCTGCAATCACCCCTTTTCCAGCTCTGTGTATTGAGTCGCTGCTTTGCTTTACAAGTCTCTCTGACTTCAGGGGTGTTTTAGCACTTGTGCAGCCTCTGGCCACTCGAGGTGAGTGGTTGGCAGCCTGGAGGAGCTGCTGTGCTGGGAGGGATGTGCTGCCTGTTCCCAGCCCTGGGTGTGTGTTGGAATAGTGTCAGCTTTTCTGCTGTGGCTGCTTCACCATGGATGGGTGGTAATGGACCTCTGGCTCGTGCCTCCAGGCACTTTCACTCCTTTGTCCAGAAGAAGGAAAACACTTTCTGCTGTGACTTATCACACAGCAGCTGGAGCAGAGGTATGTGTGGATTCAATCTCTGGCAGGCAGGAGTGAGAGCTGTTACCATATCAGTGAGCATCATGCATGGCTTGCACACATAAACAGGAAAGCCAGGCTGGTGGTGCTATTCCAAGAGGAGTTAGTCACTGAATTAGAGCTGCAGAAGTTCACATGGTTCACAAAAGCCTCCTCCAAAGGCACTCACTGTGTTCTGGTTGTGTGCCTGTCTGTGGTCCTGATCTCCTCCCATCTGCAGGAGTGCCCTGGAGCTCTCAGAAAAACCCAAGTTCATTAAAATCTGGGTGTTGAATAATGCTGGGATAACCCCTGGTGCCTCCCCCTGCCCAGCCTGTGCCTCAGCAGCGTTTCAGTGCCAGCCTGTGGCAGGGAGGGGTTGGGGTCGTGGAGCTCTGCCTGTGTTGGCTGAGGGATGAGATAACCTGGGGCTGCCTCCCACTCTCTGGAGCTCTGCTTTTCCCCAGAAAGTTGCAGTATTACTGCTGACACAGGATTTTTTAATTTATTTTATTTTTTTGCTGTGCCCTGAGGATATTTTTTTAGAATGTGAAAAGCAAACTAAAAAGTGGGAGAAGAAGAATGGAGCCACAATAATTTTCTTCAGCGTGTTCAGAGGCAGCTGAAGCTTCCCTTGATGTTTGGAGCCTGCCAGGCATGGGATCAGGAGCTGCTCCAGAAATCTGTGTGCTCCATGGAAATCATGGCAGAGGAATAGCACAGGAAGGGGAAACCTGAGGAATTTCTCCTTTCATGTACACATTGCTGCTGCAGGGATTGGCTGAGAGAGCAGGACACACCTGAAGGAAAAGGCTGTTTTTTCCCAGTGTACAGGCAGCTCTGCATTCTCTTGGTATCAGAATTTCTCATTAGATGTGTAAAATATTGGGTATTCCCAAGATGAACTTAAGAGGAAGAGGAAACAGCAAGTTTTGCCACGGCTGGAGGAGGCTGTGATGTGCCCAGGCTGTCTCCTCTTCCTGGGGTAGATTTGGGCACCAGGTCCTGCTGTCAGTGCCAGGGTGTGCTGGAGATCACCCTCACCTCGGCAGGCTCTCAGGGCTGGGCTGTCTCACAGCTCTCAGGACAGCCTGGAGGTGGCAGCCTCGGCTGGAGCTTCCCAGCACTGCACAGAAATGGGTTTGGGAGCACAGGCAGCACGGGCTGCAGGGCTGGAGCTCAGCAGTGACACCCTAAATAGCACCAGCCAAGAGCTGTTCCTTCACAGGTGGGAAAAAAAAGTGAGTTTTTTCTCCTCTAAGGATGATTCAGCACTGAAAAGCTGAAAATCTGGAGCCTGATCTGTTATTGCAGCATTGCTTCCTTGTCACAGAATGCCAGAATAGTTTCTGTTGGAGCTTAGACCTCATCTCAGTGCACCCCCTGCCATGGGCACCTTCAACTCGGCCAGGTTGCTCCAACCCCCATCCAACCTGACCTTGGCATTTAGAAATTGTTCTCACGTTCAGTGTAGCAAGTTAGAAGCATTGCATGGTGTTGTTACAGCAAAATTAACCCCAGAGTGGTGTTCAGGGGCCTGGCTGAGATACAGCCCCAGTGTGATGGATGCTGGGTTTTACTGGTAATGCTCTTTTTTCATTAACTCAACTCGTTTGTAGTCTCTGCACATTAAATCAGGTTTGTAAACAAGGTGAACAGGGATGACAGCCAGTGTGTTACAAAACGAGCCTGGGGAGGAGGAGTGTCTCACCTGAGTGATGACAAAAGCTTTGTCATTTAGGGCAATGTAGGTCATTACTCCGGGCCAGGAGCTTCCAAGTGCCAGCTGCCTTTTAGGGGAGCAGGAGGTTTTCAAATGCAGGGCTTGGCCCCTTGCTGGGTCACCTGGGCAGTGAACTCTGCAGGTGCCACCACTGGCCCAGACTCTGCCTGGGTGCCCCCAGGGGGAGGGGCACCACACCTGGTGTGGGATTGTAGAACCAGAATCCCAAAGTCACCGAGGTGGGAAAAGATCCCCGACACCATCGAGTCCAGGCTGTGTCCCATCCCCACCTTGTCCCCAGAGCTCTGAGTGCCACCTCCAGGGGATCCCGACCTCCCTGGGCACCTCCAACCCCTGAGCACCCTTTCCATGGGGAAATTCTTCCTGAAGGAACTGGCACCGTGGCTGCATGGTTGGCACGGGGGTGGGAGAGCTGCCAAGCGCTGCCCTGAGCAGATGGCTTTACCCAGGAGGGCTCTGGGGATGGGGCTGGCAGATTTGGGGCTCTGGCTGTGGCAGGACCTGCTCCCTGCTGCCCTGTGCCAGCCGAGCCCAGCTCTGCAGTGTCCCCGTGCCTGGCAGTGTCTCAGTGCAGCCTGGCCCCTTCCCCTGCTGGTGTCACCTTTCCAGGGACCTCTAGAGCAAAGCCCCGGGGGAGCCACAGGAGCCACAGTGGCCCCACAGCCCCTGCAGAATGTGCTGGTGAGCTCTGAGCTCTGTGTGGACACCCAGACTTTGTGAACTTCAGTTTCTCCCTTCATTCCCAACATTTTGGGGCCACATCTGGCTGGCCCGTGGGGTCCTGTGTGGGCTGCTCTGCTCAGGTTGGGACTGGGAACGTCTCTGAGCACTCAGCCCCTGTTATTGGTGCACTCTTGTGTGTTTTCATCAGCAGTTTAGATTGTCTCGCTGTGATAAGCTGCTACAGCAGTTGGAAGTTCTTATCTGTTTCTATTGCTTTCCTTATTTGTTTGTTTTCCTGGAAGAAGGAAAAGCTATTGCAGTTTCTCATTTTCTCAGTGTGCTTAGTCACAGCTCCTTAAGGCTGGGCCATTTGTCACAAAAGCTGATATATTGAGAAAATTCAAATTTCCTGTGTGGTCTCATATGGAAAAATCTTCCATTTTTAGATTGTAGCATATTGAAAATATTCTTTCTTATTAAGTGTTTGCCATGTTCTGCTCTGGTCTCACCCTCCTACACTCACTCTGTTTAGAAATTGATTTCTTCTGATCCCAAAATGTCCCTTCCCCTCCTGGTGTCCCAGAAAAAGGCAAAGGGGTTTGGTGCCCACAGAGGGAAGTGTGGGGGCAGCACCTGGGAGTGAATCTGCAGGTGCTTGGCCTTGTTTGCCACACGAGCTCAGGTTTGTGCCCCTTGGGTGACAGGTGACAGCTCCAGGAGGGTCCTGCTGTCCTGGTGACACGGTGGCTCCAGGTGCATCCCTGGGTGAGGTGGGAGCTGCCCCGCAGCAAAATCTGTATTTACTGTATGTGATCTTTATAAATAATCATCTGTATAAGTGACCCCCGGTATTTGGGGGTCATTTGTTGGGTGAGGGGACAAGGACAGGTCCGTTGTGCTGATGTTTTGGGAAATGTCAGGCTGGGATTTTTACCGTGGCTGGGTACTGGAGATAACCCCAAGGAGCAGGATGTGCAAGGGGCTGATGCTGGAGGTTCTGTGAGGATGCAGGGCTGGGGCTGCCAGGAGGCTGCTCCAGTGCCAGCCACGACCTGGCTGGGAGCACACGGAGCCCCGGGGGCATCGGCCACATCCATCATGAATGAGGTGTAATGTGTGGGTGCATCTTCAATTTATCAAGGCCAGGAAGATGTTTCTGCTCAGGAAAGTGATGCAATGGCTGCCCTGGCGAATAAACACTGGGGGAGGAAATGCTGAGCTATTTGCAATGGAAATTGGGTTTGATTCAGTTTCACAGCCCCTCCCCTCATGCTGTTAAAGAAGTTTGACTTTGAAGTGAAGCCCGAGGAGTTGTTATCTGCTCAGAGGCAGGACAAACATTTTGCTGTTATCACCTCTTAGCCCTGTGCTGAGGGAACCTGGCACTGCAGATACCAGCACTGGCACTCTGGGACCCTGCTCTGCCAGGAGTCCAGTGCCCATGAAGTGAAGGTTTAAATTTCTCTCTTCGAATGTCTCGGCTAAAGAGACAGAAATCCCAGAATTTCCTTTCCTGTGTGTCCCCAGCTGAGTTAGAGCCCTTCCAGAGCTTTCTGACTGAGGTGTCTGTGCCTGCAGCAGCAGCTTGGCTTAAAGTCAGACCTAAACCCTGGCTAAAGTGGCCACTGCAGCTCCCCAGGTACCAGGGACTGCTCTTGAGTCACTTGGTACCTGCACAGCAAGGAGCTTTGTGCAGCTCTGAACATCTCTGCTGTTGGATGTGGAGCGTTTTCCCTCCCAGATGGGGTGATGGTTTAAGTGGTTTCCTCTTCCCTCCAAAGTGAGTAAACTTCCAAACCACTAAGCTGGTGAGTATTGCCTGACTCACCAATGGGATTAGCAGAGATCAAACACATTATGTCTGGTTTTTGGACCTGGGCACAGCTTCCACTGGTGGGACAGTGCTGAGCTGCTGTGTGTGTGCTGAAAGCTGGGCTGGTGGGATGGGGAGTGGGCTGAGAGAGAAGTTAATGCTCAGTTCCTGCCCTGTGTGTGCCACACAGCAGCAGCTGAAGGGCCAAACCCACCTCTTGAGAGAGCCTCTGTTAAAGTTTAATTTTCTTGCAGGCTCTTATCAAGGACCAAAGGGCATCTGCAGAGTGTTGGTGCAGCTCACGTTCTCCTGCTGAAACCCTTGGGAAGCTCAAGTTAGAAATCCTCCCCCTCCCCAGGTTTATCAGGTTTTGGGGATTGGGTACTGAGCAGAGCCTGGAACACTCTGCAGGGCTGGCAGCTCCCGAGGTTTAATCCAACCCCAACCCCAATCCCAACCCCTTCCCTGTGTGTGCTCAGAGCAGATTCCTGGCTCCTGTGCCCTTCCAGAGCCCCTGCTCTGCTGGGCTGGGAAGAGCAGCACCAGGGGCACTGACAGACACACGGACAGGGCTCACTGGCACTGACAGACACACGGACAGGGCTCACTGGCACTGACAGACACACGGACAGGGCTCACTGAGATGCCAGCCCCTGGTGTGGGAGCACAGCTGCCACCCTCTGTGTCCCCACACCCGAGGCTCTGTCCTGTCAAATCCATCCTCACCTTGCTGGTCACAATTAGCAGAGCAGGTAATTGAGGTTGGACTCCTGTCATGGGAAGGGTGGTCCAGGAGTGGTGCAGCATCCCCTGAGGAGCGAGGAGGTGGCGTTGGCCCTGGGGCAGGGGTGGTGCCAGCGCTGTCCCCTGCTCCTGTGCTGTGTGTGCAGCACCCAGGCCTGGCCTTTCCCTTCTCATTACAGTAAATGAGCAGTCCCAGGGCTGTTTGTTGGGGGCTGGGTTGGCAGGGCAGCTCAGGGCTGTTGTGTGTGTGACAGTGCTGGGGGCAGGAGCAGCACCCTGGCACTCCTGCAGGGACATCGTGTCACTGCCACCCCTGTGTCTTCCAGCAGGGTATGGACAGGGCCAGGGGGCTGGCACAGCCAGGAGGGCACGGATACCTTGGGGGTGAAATGCTTTGCACAGCTGAAGTCTCCTCTGTGAGCCTGGTGCTTGGGGTGGTGGTGGGGCTTGGGGGGCTGGGATGTGTGGGGGTCCTGCTTGCTTGGTCACCTTTCCTGGGTCATTTTTCTTAGTCACCTTTCCTTGGTCACCTTTCCTTGGTCACCTTTCCTGGGTCACTTTCCTGGGTCACCTTTCCTTGGTCACCTTCTTTAGTCACCTTTCCTGGGTCACCTTTCCTGGGTCACTTTCCTTGGTCACCTTTCCTGAGTCACGTTCTTGGGTCATTTTTTTTGGTCACCTTCTTTGCCTTCTGCTACCATTGCATGGACGTGCTTATCCCAGTGCAGGTGAGCTGGCTGGCTCGGGGCCAGAGGAGGAATTTGGCACCCAGCTCTTGCACAAAACCACAGGAAAGGTGTGTGGATTGTTGGAGATCCTGGACCCTGCAGGGATACCCACGACTTCTCCTCGTGCTGGGGCTTGGCTGGGAAGGAGCTTGTCCTCCTTCCTCTCATGAAAAATTCATCTTTGGCACCTTTTCTTCCCCTTTGTCTCGGCAGGCCCGGTGTCATCACCATGCAGGCGCTGTCGGAGGAGGACCGCAGGCTGTGGATGGAGGCCATGGACGGCCGGGAACCGGTGAGCAGCAAAATTCGGGCATAAAAAAAACTGAGGAAAAGGTGCTGAGCTCTCAGGAGCCCAGGGCAGGTAGTGCTCCCTGCTCGTGGGGCAGCTCCTGCCTCCTGCCAAGAGAATCCTTTAATCCCTTGGTTAAATATTTGAGGTAATACTGTATCTCCCGTGCTTGGATTGCTTGGAGGTGCGGTGGAGAGGAGGAGGGAAGGCTTGGCCAGCACAAACACGCTGCTCTGCCGTGCTGAAAGGAAAACATGGCAAAAAGAGCAGTGGAAGAAAAGACGTTGTAGATTTCCAGGGTTTTTGGAGTCCTGCGAGTCCTTGGCAGCCGTTTCTGGGTCTGGTAGAGAATTGGATTTCGTGTGAGCAGAGGAGTGTGGCCCCTGCTCCCCGTGTTTGCTGCTGCTGTGCCAAAGGCTTCCTCACCTCTGGAAGGGATTCTGGAGGTTTGCAGGAAACTCATTGTTAGTTTTTATTTTGGAATGCATTTGCAAGCCTGCCTGCCAGCTTGGAGAGCCTTGGCTGGTTCTGAGCGGGTCCCTCGGGGGGTGCTGGGGTCACGGTGTGGCCCCTGCCAGCTTCGTGTGGTGACTGTCCCATGGCACTGCCGAGGCCACTCTGTGCCTGCTGCTCACGGCCAGCAGCGATTTTGGGATAGGGAAAGAAGCTGTGTGGAGAGCCAGAGCAGCCTGGGCTGTTCTGTGTGCTGGGAGCAGGGTGTCCCATCCCAGCACTGCCTGCTCCCACAACACTGCTCCTGGTTTGAGCAGATCTCCCCCAAATCCATGGGAAGGTTCCTGTCTGTCAGGAAGAGTGTTGGCTGAAGGCAGGTGGGGCATGGAGAGCTGGGCTTGGTCAGGCTCTCGCTTTTGGAACGAGCAGCAGCTCAGGGATGGAGAGGCTGCGTGTGGGAGGTGCTGCCCTGCATTTCAGGGAAAGGATTGTGTGGTGGATTAGAGCCAGCTCCCAGCCTGGAGTCGTGGATCCATCAGGTAATTCAGGTAGGACGGGAGCTCAGGAGGTTTCTGGTCCAACCTCCTGCTCAGAGCAGGGTGCTCAGGGTGTTGCAGTCAGGAGCTGAGAGCAGCCAAGGGAGGAGAGGGCACAGCCTGCCTGGGCTCCAGCCCAGCTGCCTCCCTGGCCTCCTCACCCCAAGGCTGAGCCTCTCTTGTTCCAATTTTCACCTGCCCAGAGAGGCTGTGGTTGCCCCATCCCTGGTCTAGATCCAGGGCAGGGATCCCTGTGGGACTGGATGAGATTTGAGAGCCCTTCCAGTTGAAACCATTCCACGATTCTCTGGTTCTGCCTTTTTCTATCATCTGCTGAAAAGGGGCCCTTGTTTGGGAGAACCAGCCTGCTCCTCCACCCTGGGGCAGCTATAGTGGCACAGCCCTCTCCAGCTCCAGCTGCCTTGGTCCCTCCTAAAAGGACCCTGCCTTGATTCTGGTGGTCCCAGAAACAAAATGTGCGTTGCTGCTCCTGATGTGAATGGAGTCTTGTGCTCCTGCAGCCTGCACACTCTGCTGGGAGTGCTGGGGCAGGCTGGCAGAGCTGCAGTGGAGCTGCAGGAATGCTCACTGTGTGTTGAGCTGCTGATGTTACCAGGATGCAGCACAGCCAGCCTGCAGAGGTGCACACACCGATTTTGGGTGCTTACAAAGAGCTGTGCATACAAAAGGTTCTGTGGAGCAGCCAGGACAGGACTGCCTGGATTCCCCTGTTGCAGAATGTGGTTATGGGAACTCCTTCAAACCACACAGGTCGTGGTGCCTGCGCTCTGCTGCTCTCCCCTATCGTGCCCATCAGCTGAGGTGAGGGCAGCTGCCTCAGCCAGCACGTCAGGGGTTGTGGCTGAGCATTAATGCCATGGCTTGTGGCACTTCATTGCTGGTGCTTGCACTGCCCTTCCAGGTGTGGAGTGGGAGCGATGGGAATGCAGCCTGCATGGAAATGGATCCAGGAGACACTTGTGGTGTGTGTGTTGACACATGAGGCAGCTCCCTGTCCTCAGTTCTCCTCCTCCATCCATCAAAAGTGCAGCTGTGGGCTGTTCTGTGTGGGTTTTTATCTTGCAGCACCAGGGTGCAGCGTGTTATCTCCGTGTTACCTATTCCACAGGGATTTCCTTGAGCAAGAGATGAGGATTTCACCTTTGGACTCCTAGAAATATCCATCCTGGGCTTTGAGTGTATTTCTGTAACCAAAGAAGCCTACTGGAAAGAATGTGTGGTTTTGCTTTGATTTGGCTGCAGAGCCTGGGGAAGGATTGGCACGGTGGGAATGGTAATTCCATGTGCAAATTCAGGCTCTGGAGAGATTAGCACGGACTGGAGTTTGTTTCTTAATTATAATGAAAAAAGTAAACCCAAATGTCAAATTACATCTTAGTGAGATTTAAACATAGAATGTGGCTGCATTAGCCAAGACATTTGTCACAACTTGAGAAGATTTACGCTGTGTCTCTCAGTCAGAGCAGCCTCCAGACAGCTCTCAGCACGCCGTTAACTCTTACCACTTGTTATTCATTTGGATAAAGCCCCCGTGTTGACTTTGGGTTTTCTTCCATGTTGCAGAGGCTGGAAACAGGAGAAACTGCTAACTCCATGACGGAGCAGTGGTGTTTGGTTTTGTTAAGATACTCAGGATCAGTTTCGTGTGGATTTTCTCCTCTGCTGATGCAGTTTGCAAATGTATATGGTGGAGGCCAGAGCGATTCTGAAACTTCCTTGGAACCTGAGTCAGGAATAAAAGCTGTGCTGGCTGATGGTGGCTGATGGTTTAGGAGAGGGACAGATGATTAGGCTGTGCCTTGTGGCAAGGAACAAGGAACAAGGTAAGCATTTAGGTGAGGGTGTGGTGAATGAGTGTGGAGGAGGAGGAGGATGCTCAGGAGGATCTTCTGGCTCTGCACAACTCCCTGACAGGAGGGGACAGCCAGGGAATGGGGCTCTGCTCCAGGGAACAGGGACAGGAGGAGAGGGAACGGCCTCAGGCTGGGCCAGGGGAGCTCAGGGTGGACAGCAGCAGGAATTTCCCCATGGAAAGGGTGGGCAGGGATTGGAACTGCCCAGGGAGGTTTGGGTCCCCATCCCTGGAGGTGCCCAGGGAGGTTTGGATCCCCATCCCTGGAGTGCCCAAGGAATTCCTGGCTGTGGCACTGAGTGCTGTGGGTGGGGACAGGGTGGGGATGGGCACAGCCTGGGCTGGCTGGGCTGGGAGGGCTTTTCCCACCGCAGCAGTGCCGGGTCCGGTGCCAGCCCCGAGCCGGGGGTGCCCCGTGGCTGCTCCCCACTAGATGGCAGCTGAGACCGGACCCAGCAGCCTGGGCTGTCCCCTCCCCGTGTCCCCTCCCTGCCCCCGGGGCTGGATGTGACCCCCGAGCTGCTCTCAGGGTGGGGACACCGCTCCCCTCTCCCAGCTGTGTCCCCAAGCTCAGCGCAGCCCCAAACCAGAGCTGCTTCCCTCTGTGTCCCCTCAGGGCGTGCCTGGCTCCTCCACATGGCCCTGTGGCCACTCTGGCCACTCCAGCCGCGGGTGGGATGTGCCTCTGGAGCTCCCCTGTTCCAGCTGTGCTCCTGGCAGAACATCTGTCACTGGTCCTGGGGCTCCTTCAGCCCTGCTGCCCGAGGTGCCCCCAGTGTTCTGTGTTAGTGACAGCAGAGCCCAGCCCCACATTCCTGCCCAGCACACCTCCCACCTCCTCCTTGCATATTGCTTCTGGGAATTCTTTCTGAAATTGTTTTTCGTTTCCCTTGTCTAATTATACAAAATGGTGAGAGATTTATTTCCCAGTGGAAACGTTGTCTTTTGAACTCACTCCAGCTCTTTCAGCCCCGGCATTCCTGTTATTTTGGCTCATTCAGAAAATAAATTCACTTGAAGGACTTCAGTCCCAGCGTGGCTGTGGGGGGATGGACAGGCACCCAGTGCTGCCCCTGCCAGCCCCTCACACTGCACTGGGGCTCAGTGGGGCTGCAGATGTGCTTTACCATGTGAATTCATTCCCTCTCAGGGCTGGCAGGTGCTGTCACCCAGAGCACCTGTGACACACCTGTGACACACCTGTGACACCCACAGTGGGCAGGGAGCCCGTGGGCGAGTGCCAGAGCCATGCCCGTGTTCCTGCTCTGCTCCCTGCCTGCCTCTGCCGTGCCTTCCCTCACAGCCTTTCCCATGCTGGGTTTTCATTATGCTCTCAGTCCCACAGACGTGTTTTTGTCAGCTTTCTGGAAAAGATGTTTTTCTGTCTTGCAGGTTTTCATGGCCTTCATCCTGCCTGGGTTTGTTTGCTTACAGCAGATTTTTTTGTTGTTGTTGTTCTCTATGACCTGAGTCATTCCTGTTGCTGCTTCTCTGTCTCCCTGTCTCTCTCTTTAGTGAACAGAACATTTTTTTCCCCACTCTGCCCACTCTTAATGTCTAAGTTTCTATTGTGTGCTGCTTCTCTTTGCCTCTAATCTGTTCTCCAGCCCAGACAACCCAGAACTTTCCCTGAACTGGAGCTCAGTGTCTCCGTGCTCTGGGAGCATTGGTGCCACCTCTGAGTGATGGTGAGTCCCACTGCGACCCACGCTGGCCCAGGGGAGCCCCTGCTTGGCTTTTTCTGCATCCCACAGCTCAAGATTATTGCCCCCCCAAATTTTTTTTGTCCTTTTTGGGGACAAGGTGGTAGCAGAGGGTCCTCAGAGAAGCAATGCTCCACGTCATGTTCTATGTTAGTTCTTGGATCATGTGCTCTTGCCACTGCTCCCTCCTGTTTGGTAACCCTTTAAGCCTGTAATAGCAGTAACTTTACATGGGGTTTGTAAGCTTTTATTTTGCTTCTAAAGCACTTAAGCCAGTGAGGTCTTAAGCTTTGACTTCAGGCTTTTATTCCTGGTTCCAGCAACTGCTGCTTCAGTGGCTGGCGGCTCACCCAGCTGGAGTCACTGTGGCTGCTGGGCTTTGTCCTCTGCTTAAGAAGCTGCTTCAGAGAGAAATACTTAGAGAAGCATTACAGATAA